GCGGGGGGCGGGGAGGGGGTGGCGGAGCGGCTCCCCCGGGTCCCTGAGCTCCCCGCCGCCGCGTCGTCGTTAGGTTCCAGAGTTAACAGCCCCCTCGCAGCCGGGGCAGCTCCCCCCTGCGCTGGTGGCACTCGAAGCCACTCGTGGCTCTGGGCACTGCGTGGCCCTGCAGCCCCCAGCAGAAGGGCAGGGAGAAGCCCCCATGCCCCCCACAGGCACTTGGGCCGGGGGGCTCCCCCGCAGCAGCAGGAACCCTGGCTCCTACGTGAGCCCCTTCAGCTTCCCCCATCCCTGGCGCTGCCCAGGGCCGCACAGAGACCCGGGAGGATGGGAAGAGAAAAAGGGGGGATAGAGGGGGTGGGAGCAACACAGGGTCCCCACTAAAGAGAGGAACCCACCCCCCTTCGGGCCAGAGGCACCAGCTGCGACCCCCGGCAGGGCAGGGGCAGCGGGCAGGCAGCAGCAGGCAGGTCTGGCAGGGCCCGGTGCAGAGGTGGGGGTTTCTGTCACTGTCTCTCTGGCTGCCAGACTGGGCTCCGGCGCTGGCAGCGACACGTCAGCCTCCCACGGGTGCAGGGGAAGAGCAAACCGCTTTCAAGAGAGAAGGCAGCGGTTTTAAGAGAGATAGGCAGCTCAGAAAGCACAGCACCCTACGGCAGTAGGTAGCAAGTCAGTGTGGTTTATTTTTTCAAAGCCAAATATAAACAGGACAGGAACCAAATAATTTCCAGACTCCACCTGTCCCAGATGCAATAAAATACCTGGTTTAAAAAAAAAAATGAGAAAGGAGAGATGTCCCCATCTTGCAACCTCAGCTGTCAGTGTCGGGGGACCCTGGGGCTCAGGGGTCCTCACCCTTCAGGCCTGGGGCAGCCAATTTTTCATCTAACGTCTTTTTGCCCAGCCCCGGCATCTCCAGCCGAAAGGAGAAGGGTAGGAGACAGGGGTAACACATGCACCACTCCATCCTTGCCTACACGGGCACGCGGGGGAAGAGCCACCAGCCAGGCAGGTAGGGCCCACGGAGCTGTGACATCCCTTGGAGATGCCCAAAACGCGTTAGGACAGGGCCCTGAGCCACCCAGGGTGAAGGCGGCCTGGAGGGGAGCAGCAGATGCTCCTCCAGCCCAAAGCAGCCCTTTCCTCCCCTCACCCTCCGTACTCAGCGGCAGAGCCCCAGAGGCTGCAGCCCTCCACCAGCCGGAGGCAGGGCTGGCTGGTCCGTAGGGTCCCACAGCCTGTTTTTCCTGGAAAGGTTGGTGACAAACTGCCATCGGTTCGTCAGAGAGGCCACACGCCATGCCCTTGGCTCTGGGGGCTGTCAGGGCACGCTGCAGTGTGTCCCCGCCAGCCCTGCATGTCGGGATGGGTCCAAAGGGATTGGGAGGGATTCCCAAGAGGATGCTGCACCCTTTGCTGGCCCTCCCCGGCCCCAGGGAACACCGCTTGCTGGTGGAGGGTGGCGAGCAGCTCTGCAGCCTCTCCCACAGGCTGCAGCACAGCAAGACAGCGGCCTGTGAGGGAGGACAAACCTCCCCAAGGAGGCTGCTGCGACAGCCCTCGCTCCCTGCAGACAGCACTACCTTCATAACCTACCTGAGCCCCAAGACCCAGAGGCACCGCTCAAAACCAGCCCGTGACTGCTGCTCAGTCCTCCGTGCTGTTTTCCTAACGATCCAGACAGCGATTACTACTTGATTACTCCTTGCTTCTTGCCCCCTCCCAGCCTCCTCTTTCCCCCCCGCTCCATATTTCCTTCACCCTTCAGAGAGCCATTTTAACATGATAGCACCCTGGCTGCTCCGTCCACAGGACAGACGGCTGGCGACACAGAAAGAAAAGGGAGAAGGATGGTATCAGCTGCAGGAAATCCACCCCTCTGTCCCCAGGGACTCGGGACCAGGAGACTTTGGTACGGCACCGGTCCACCCAGGACAGTCCTTCTGCTCGGTGGGATGGTGGGTGAGTGAAGTCAGAGAAGGGTGGCAATTCCACCTTCTCCAGCAAGCGAAACATCCCTTTTCCCAAGTGAACCCTGCACAGACACGACAGGAGAAATCGCAATGTGTATGCATAATGTATAATCTTTAACACACGTACATTCACGCGGACCCAGACATTACTCACGGACACAAGGAACGTTTGGGATCCACTGCTGTCTTCTTGGGGAAATGGTGACTGCAAAGATGCCTGTGCTGCCAGGAGGGAAGGGGGGGACAGAAGAGCTGCCTGAGGCACAGGGAAACACCTAACGTGACCTCCATCGACCTGACGAGGTGTTTCCCGGCTGTGCTGGGCCTCGGATACTCGGCCTGTGGGAACTGATGGGCATTTCAAGAGGCTGCTCAAGCCGGGACAGAGAGATAGCCTTGCGGTTTTTTTCAGTTTTCCCTGGCCACCCTGGATGCTTGGGCTGAGGTCTCCCATGGTTGCAAATACTTACGTGGGAATTCCTCCTCGCTAAAACCAAAGACTCAACCCATAGCACGCAACACGGCCTACCCACCGGCAGCAGGACGGCAGACCGAGGCATGGGGCATGCCTACCCAAACAGGATAAAACGGAGAAGCCTTTACACACCGTTTCCTTCAGTTTTGTCTGAAGTCCCAAAATCAGACTTGGACCCTCCGCTGACGTTGTGCAGTGCCTACTGAAATACCTGCAGTCTCTTTCGAATTCGGCACGTACAAGGCTGCGTTGGCGCTCCCGGACGACGCAAACACCCACGTAACCATGCACTGACATGGTCTGCACAGCAGAGCAGACAGGTAGGCCTGCCCGAGGACACAGTTTCTCTACAAAATGTTTGCCAAAGGGATGAGAAGTTTTAGTTATAGGGCTGGGTTGCCCTGTGTACGTAAGTCACTTGCAGTGCATCTGTCCCCTATTGCACAGCAACACTCCCGTTTTGCACCCCGTGCAAAACCAGAAGTGGTTAAGAGACTGTGGGTGGGGGAAGTGTGCATGAACCGCGTGAAGAGCAGCTCCCACGCTTCCTCCATGTCCAGACTCTTTTCAGAGTGTAGGTATAGGGTGGTCCCAGAAAGATGAGTATAATGGGCTCTGCCGGCTACTCTGGGACCCCCGTCGTAAAGTACACAGCGTGTTTTCAAGTGGGTTAGATATGCATTGTCCAGCACCAGTGTTCAGAGAAGCTTTGGGCAGCTTTCTGGTGACTCCTGTGGCTTTTTTATGGCACGATTCTACCTGGCATTCAGGCAGCACCTCTTGCCGAGGACTCCTGTGAGCTCAGGATGTGGTAATTCTCTCGACGCACTTGAGAGGGGCAGGGTGTCAACAGAGTGCCCGTTTGGCAGAGGGGAGCATGAAGCCCCAGGAAACTCACAGATATCTACGCTGCCGCAGAGCTAGCCTCATCAAAGCTGAGGCTGGGAATGGGGAGCCCAAGCCTTGCTCCTGCACGCCTCTTCTCAGCTACCAGCATCAACCTTGTGACTCAGCAATCCCATTCCCAACCTTGCATCCCTGCTAGGAATCTTTTGGGATCTGCTTTCAACCCTCAAAAAGGGTTGGAGGGTTGGGGTCTACTCCAACCCTCAAAAACAAGAGATGGCTTTAAAGATTTTGCCTAATGATTCGCTACCCTGCTTTCAGTTGGATCCCTTCTGCTTCCGTAGAAATTCTTCAGTCCCTTCCTCCTTCCCGCCCTCCGAGTTCATTTCAGTACAGACTTCTTTAAAGTCATAGTTCGCCTTGGAGTACAGCACCTTCGCCATTCCTCAGCGCTAACCACACAGGGCTGTTCCTCCTAAAGCACCAAGACTCCTGCAGACCACCACCACTCCGCTGGCAAAAGCGCTGGGCTTTCAGTATTTATTTCTCATATTTAATCAGTGCTCAATATTTCAATAGGATGGCATGCAGTTCAAGCATTCTTTTAAGAGGAGGGCTGTGTGATTTCACGTGGCGATACCTGAAGTGCTATAATAGACTAAGAGCACCCACCTAACTCTACAGGGCACAGTACCTAATTCTCGTCTCTGACATAACTACTGTATTGCAACTGGACAGTGACAGGAGACACTAGCTGCAGCTAGTCTATAGACGTCGCTTCAGAAACCACAAAGATACGCAGGCTCTGTGTATGCACAAACACTGTGTCGCTCTGCACCCCATAATACCCGAACCCAGAGGAAAACCTTTTCTCCAGTGGTTCTGTCTGGGCCTTTAAGTCATGTTGAAATTCATGTGCCTTGAGCTGCTAAAGCTCTTCCTGTCTGGGCAGCGGAGCACGCACTCCCCCAAAATCCGTTCTCTTTTGGCAAAAAGGAAGAAGGCCTCAAGCTGCAGGAATTAACATCTCTCTTCCATACACGGTTGGGCTGACTCCAGGGTTGGCCAGTTTCCAGTCACGATCCCACTGTATTGCATAAATACCTATAGATTGGAAACAGCAGTGAGTGGAAGCTCCCCATACATCAAAGTCATTCTGGCACTGACCTCAAGGCTTCCATGAAACAGTGCCACGAGGTTCAAAATCGTCCTGGGAGCACTCACGGCTGTGCTGCAGATCCTGCCTTGGACAGACACGATGAACAGACCAAAAAACAAGGTAAGAACACGGACTGGGGTTGTTTAGCAGGCATGAAAAATGGCTAGAAGCTCATCTTCTGCATTAGGAGAGTTTGTATCATCAGCGAGGTGGCCAACTGGACCTCAGCGTTACCACTGTGCTTGCCACTCCCGGAAGCCTAGCTGCGTCTGGTTTTGTTGCTGGGACTTTCCCAGGCCCACAAGGATATTCAGAATCGGAATGGTAGCTCTGTGAACAATCAGACTACGGAGGTGAAGCAAAATCTGACCAAAAATTCAGACTGGAGAAGACAACAGTGAAACGTAAGAGACATTAAAAACTACCACCTGCATGAGATATACATTAAAAAAAAAAAACAATCAAAAAACCTACAACGCTGCAAGGACAAGCAGCTTCCTTCTCTGGAAGAGGGGGTTCTTCCGTATTCCACACCAGGGATCTCACTGCGTTGACCTTCTAGGCAAGACAATTACAGAACAACTAGTATGCGCAAATCCTTCCGAAGGACAACGTGCTTCCTACCACGACTGTCTCTGCAAGATGACACTTGTCCTCTCTACACTTGGCCAACGTGTCCCTGTGCCTTTGGGCCAGAATGGGCAGGCAGGCAACGGAAAGATGCTATAGCACCAGTTACAAAGTTCAATGCAGTTTTCAATGCATTAAGCCAAAGGATTGTCACCAAACTTGCCTTCCACGCAAGTTTTGCAAAGAGGGTAAAGCTACACTCCAGCTGCTTCTGTCCGCATGGTGCCTTTGCACTCACTCCTTGCCTGAACTGTAGATCTTCTGAACTGTGGCACGTGTGAGCTCCAAATCCTCCGGGTACCGAATTTCTAGCTCAGTATTTGCTAGGTAGTAAATGCCGGTAAACTCTGAAAAATAGCGGCCAATGTCAGGGTGAGGGATCTCCCGAGGCTCAGAGTTATATTCCAGGTTCTCTGTTAGGAAAAGAAAGAATCAGTTATCACCACATGAAATGGCCTGCTACGAGGCAATAAATCCTGCGCCTCTCTCAAGTCTTGTTTCTGTCTCTAGAAATACCACCTCCTGATGCTTTAAAGAAAAAAAACCCTGATCCAGGAAAACATGCACGTACGCCAGTACGACTGCTCACTGAGCCTTATCTCCTAAGTGATGCTGACCCCATTTCCTAGTGGCAGGAAAACTATTTTATGCCTGAGACCACACTGTCTGACATCAGGTTAGGGTAGCAGGATGCTGACCTGTTCCCACTCTGTTGGTCACAGGTCTTGGTTGTAAGCGCAGGGAGAAGCTGCGGCACTGAGCTCTGATCCCTGAAGTCCCATGGGAGATCGGTTTCTAGGAGAGATCCTTCTCAAATGCTCCAAGGGTGAGGCCGACTGCACAAGGTTGTCCTGGTAGAGAAGCCAAGTGCTTTCTTGCTCTAAGTCACCAGCCTGTGTTTCAACCATGCCAGGTCACCAGCCTGGTTTTCAAGCATGTCTCGCACAGCAAAATTAACTTTTCTAAATCCAAACTTCCCAAAGTTAAGAGAAAGTCCCCAAGAAGAGCACATCGATTCATTCCCAGAGCACCCTACTTCCTCCTTTGTACTAAAAGATAACCTGATGAAGCACAACAGTTAAACAACACAGAAGCACTGTGGCTTCTGTGTTGTTTAGCACAGAAGCTGAGGGCCCCTTTGCTCCTGCAGTATTTGTATAAAGCGGTGTGACTGGGAGGCAGCCCAGCAGTAAATCACATGCGCAGGTGCCCTGCAGCAGTCCCCAGATGATGTCATTTTTTCCAGCACAGTGCCAGATAGGCAGCTTTTGTTTCTACCTGTGTAAGTCCCAAAGTCTGACTTATCTGCAAGGCAGGGCGGGAACAAGATGGGATGCAGAGAACATCATTCAGGAATAACTAATCTGTCTCTGAAACTATTCCATTCACTACAGAGAGCACATCCAAGTCATATTAATCCATACAGGCTCTTTGAAGCTACTGTACGTCACCGTGTGCAGCTGAAAGCACAAGAGCTTTCTACACCTCAGCGGGCTGGTGCAGTCCTACGGGCTTGCAAAGTACCTTTTTCGTATACTGCACCACTGCAGAAAACAATTTACACTCCAATATGCTCTGCAGAAGCATGGCTGAGCAGCGAGCTGTGTACAAAGGGAAAAACACAGTGATGAAATAGAAGCTGGCAGGGGGGAAGAGACTAAGACAAGCAAGTTCAGCACTAGGTGGGGAGCCTGAGAAACATGCTGACTAGAAGTTTTTGAACCACAGATATCTGGCCTGTGCTGCCACAAAGCAAAAAGAAAGACAAGAACGGATAGGTAGATACCAAACTCACTGTACGAAACAGGTGTTTTGGAATTGGCTACAGCTCAACCTACGGATTTACAGGAAGGCTTCAAACTGAGGTACAATTACCTATAATAACCTGGTGTATTCCTGAGCTGGTTAGATAAAACTCTGCATGCAGACTTGTTTAAGGTTCTTTCAGCAAAAAACTACCATCCCCTCCCCAAAGTCAGGTCAGTAAGTTATGAAATACTGCCTTCCCAAATGATCTGAGGATGTACTTCAGAGGGGATACTCAATAGCCAGGCAGCAAGATTTCAGCAAACAAGGACAAACCCTTCAATTTTCCCTAGCAATATCAAAACACTCGGATGCCACAGAGATGACGCTGTCAACCTACAGCTTGGCTAAAATACGCTGCGCTCTGGAACCAGCCAGCATTATACTTGTTTATAAACAATTAGACAAAGGATATGAGAGATGACTCAGCCCCAGAAGCACTGGGGACAATTATCTGATTAGTTTTCACTCAGATGCGTATTTTAATATCAATCCATTGCACACAAGAATTTTTTGGTTTTTAAGACTCTCTCAGAGGCCGAGTACATGAGCCATAAGGCCGAGCTGCAATATTCCTGGTCCCCACTTCATCTTTTTGGATTACTGCATATAAAATAACTCTCAGGACAGTGAGAAACACCTGCACTTTAAACTACAAAGGCAGGAGTGTCCCCTCCTGTAAAACCACCTCTTGCTTACGCGTAGGGGACCAGAACATGCTAGGGAGCACCCCCTAGTGAAAGAGCTGGACTGCATTTTGTTCAGCATTTCCCCTCCAGCAGCTTCCACGTCTTCCCTTAGCAAAATACAGTCAGGCTGTGCAGCTGCCCTGCCAGCTGGACGGGATGCCTCCGTACCACAGGGAGAACAAACACGAGGCAAAGAAACACTCTGTTTACAATGTACAGAGTTACAGACATATAGACATATATGTATAGGGGTTGTTTTCCCTTTTGAACCTCAGTTCAACATTTCTTGTATCCTAACCTCATATTCTGACCATCAGACAAGAATTTCCGTTCTTATGGTATGTTGCATAAAGAATGGGTGATAGAGATTTCACAGATGCAAAGAGGTTTAAAAGAGGCATTCACTTTTGTCCCATTCTTATCAGAGGTGGCACCAAAAGCCATGCTACCCATGTTCTCTGGGATCTTGGCACACAGTCTCTTGATGACAGCTGCTCAGAACCGTGCCCTGAGAAGCAAAGTTTGTGTGCTCTCTCACCAGATCCTATTTTGAGGTCCTGCCCAAAGCACAGCTATAATTTCAAAGAACGAGAGCTGCTGACAGAACTTCAGCAAAACTTGAATTACCTCTTTTAAAAGCAACCATCATGGTTTACACTGTAAAACCAATCACGTCCAAAACACATTTTTAAGGCAAAAGAAGATTACACCAGAGTGGTCCTTAACGTTCCTAGCAGTACTGATTTCATGGAGAGCAAACAATGCAGGCCATGAATTCAAGATCATTTTCCTTCCTAATAAAAGTTTATGTTTCATACTTAAAACAGTTAATCACTTAAGCGTCCCTTTCTCCTAATGTACTTCTAAACAGATAATAAACACAAGAGACTCCTGCTCACCTTGAGCAGCATATCTGCAAGAGCCATCTTCCACTAGCACGTTGTAGAAAGGCTGGTGGGGGCCATGCGGAAGGCTGTGGACGTTCATATTCCGGATCCATTCACGCCCCATCATGCAGGCGGGATCCCAGCCATAAATCACGCAGTTATAGCCGTATCTAATTAAAAAAATTGCACACCAAAGACTGTGAAAATTCCAGAGCCAGCTCTTTTTCCCAAGCTTAATATAGCACAAACAGGATAGGAGCCTCCTGTGAGTTGGCACAAGGAGGAGAAGACAAGAGAGGAAAAAAAATAAATTCAAAAAGATTATGCGCGTACGTGTGTGTATTTTGAGGTAGGGGGAAATGACTAGGAGTGACGGGACCAATAGACAGGAACAAACAGCTGAGGACAAAGGAAAACCAAACGTGAGCAAGAAATGAAAATGGCAAAAGACTGGAAATCAGCAACCAGGAGAACAGGAACAAGAAATAGAGGAGAATCAACCTTCCTACTGTGTTGCACAATTACTTCTGTGCCCATCACACAGATGTGGTAATCCCAACACTGAACTCCCAGAAAGAGCGCCATCATTATTTTCAGATTATTTATGCAATTAATCGCAAGGTATTATAACTGTCACTGCTGACGCCCTTAAAATATACTCCAGATGTCTTGTTGAGTTGGAGGAGTGGCCGAAGCAACACAGTGCTGGCATGTCCTTCTGGCAGAGTAGCACAGACAGGAACATAAAGCCTCTGTGCAATGCAGGAAAAGCGGGTAATAATAGCACAGGGAAAGATTCATAAGCTGTCTTAGGAATCTTACAATCTTTTTTGAAGGCAATTCTGTTCTATGGTCCCTCATTAACTGATTACTGATGTTCTTTGAGAGCTCTGGGCTCTGGGAATTTTAGCTGTGTGATATATGATGACTTGGACAAGTCACTTCACAAACTTCTCTCTGCAAGCAAACAGCAGTGAATACACTCGTTCTCTCAAAGGACAGACAGAGCTGCTCCCATTTTTCTATGAGGTACATGACATAGATGCACATGCCTGGCATTTTCCATTCCAGGTACCTCCTTGGTAGATAAAACCACATCTCATTACTGTCAGAACAAACACTTCTGCACTCGTCGTTACAGTACAGCCTGCTAATGTGGGGGAGGCTTTGAGGAGCTCACCTCTTGTGTTTCATAATCAGCCCGATCGAAAAGCAGACCTCTTTGTGCTTCTCATCTGAACGGTGCTTCACCTCAGGTCCCACCTCCTCCTTCCGGCGCTCAATATGCTCTAGGGTATGTTGAACTAAGTACCCGACGGCCCCATGCTGGGATGGGTCCAAAGCCTGAATATGCTGCAAGATGTCCAGAACCTTCAGCAACCAAACCAAAAAGACAGATTCAGAACAAGTCTCTACAGCAGTCCAATACTTACAAATACATACAGATATATTTCTTGAGTTAGCTGAGTCTAAGTACCCAGGTCTAGAGGTCCACCACATGAGTTTTCCACACAGGACTGAGAACCTTTGCTCTAACTACACACACCCAAGGAGTTGTTCACACTTGCTTAGCCTGCAGAAATTCTAAACAGTCCTCTCCTTTTCTATTTGTAAATCTCCCTGCTTCCAAGGAAGGGGACTGTTGAGCACAGTAACTGCTTAAAACTAAGTCACACAAGCTAATCGTGTCACATTTTGCAACCACAGGGCATTGACGAGACCGTTCCAAGGTTTCTGAAATGTTAAGAGAATACTGTTGCTAGTCCCCCAAACTGCCGCTGTGAAGCGATTCCAGATGACTTCTGCTGTACTTGAGAACAAACATTTTCGTTTCAAAGAGTTCCTCAGCATGTCTGTAGAGGAAAAATAGGGCAGCACAGAAGGAAACACAAATAACCTCTATGATGCTATACCATGTAATAGTGAACAAGAGACAGAGAACCTTCGTGTCTCAGGATGACTAAAGAACGCTAACTATAAAAGTGCTCTCAAAGCAGCAAACCCTGCAGATCCAGAATACCAGCCTACCAACACCCTCTGGCACACTATCAGAGCATCTGCTGCCAAGTTGTTTGGGGGTTTTTTGTTTGTTTGTTTTTCTCTTAAAAAAACTATTGTCTAAACAGGTTGAGAAAAGACAGATACATCTGTCCCATCAAATACCTCATTTTGTACCACTTTCCATACATCTGGCAGACCTCTATTAAATCTGGTATCTTCTGTTCTATCAGACATAGAGCATTCTCTCTGGCTAGCTACAATCCTACCCAACAGCCTGGAATGACTGGATGCATATGAGGATGCAGTACTGCAAAGTCCAAATTTGCACATTTTCACTATGTCTGGCAACGCGGTGCAGAGAAACAATGTGTAAAACTCAACCACGGAGTGGGATTATTTGTTCTGAGGGGCAGCAAAACACAAGTATGCAAAGCCTTGGTGCTTTACAAACACATTGCTGAGTGCCAGAAAGAGGAAGGAAGATCTTCCAGTGTTCCACTTGGCAATCCCCTATTTACGTGCGGTTGCCGTTTCAGCTCAGCGAGTTCCCCCAGTACACAATTTCTTAGTTTGTGGTGGTTTTTCTGTGGTGACCCTAAAACTTGCCACCATAAGAAAGGAATGGCAAGCTTCAAACAGTTTGCTCTTCAAAAGCAAGGCAGCTTCTCCAGCAGTCCTATGCTTCAGCTAATCTGGTGGAAAGAGCTCTGTTTTCTGCTCAGCTGTCCAGCCAATACTTCTGCCCCCCTCACCCAAACCTCACATTTGGAAACGGCACAGGCATTGCCCAAGTGTGTGAGCTTCACTAAAGTAGTACAGGAAATTTTGACTAGGGAACACTTTGCTGTAGTGACACACTAAAGAAATAATAGTGTTTTGAGTTACATGCTTCTTCCCTGTGCCTTCCCCTGATTCAGTGAAAGACATGGATGATCAGACAACTTAAACGACTTGTAAGTCTCCGCACCTTCTTTCCCACATTCACAAGACAGCAGGACTCAAGTTGCTACGCTAAAGGTGATATTAAAAAAGAATCCCAAGGACAGGAATATTAAGTTGTTTTTTCACAGGAGCCACTGATTGTGTGGCTAAGGTTTCAGAGAACAGCTTTGGTTGTATTTGTAAGAGATAACTTCCGACAAGTTTTCTGATAAGGCAATTGCTCCTTTTACATGAGTCCAGCAAGAGTTTTACCACCACTACAACAATCTAGGCATAAACCAAACAGAATGCTCTTATAACTTACAGCTAGAAGTCCACAGTGCTGGTTGCAAGACAAGCTGTCAGACTCGGGCAGTAAATCATAAATTATGACTCAGACTCGAGGCTGCTCACAAGTCTCCCCTAGGGCAAGCAAGCAAGACTCATCCCCTTTTCCCTGCTTCATATAGTAGAAATTGATTCTCTGAAATGTGATAACTCGTTCAATTGCATTTATTACAGAAACAACTTGTGGCAGACTGTAACGCAAGCTGACGTAGTCCAAAAATCAATAGACCAGTGTTAACAGCGCTTAGCCTATCAGAAAACATATGACCGAGTGGCGAGGTACCTTTTCTGGCCAGATTCCCAGGTGGAAGTATAACCTAGCCTGGAGCATTAGGTGCTGCACATTGTCCGGATACATGGCCAGGTATAGATCCAACGAGTCTCTCAAGAGTTGGTAAGACTGATCAGTGCTTTCTCTGCCAGCAAAAAAGAAACTCAGTTGTAAGGCTAGCTCTTCAACACCTACCTGCAGTACTCTGATGTGCAGGGGTAGTTACCAAAAATGACGCTACAGGCATGCTCATTCAATAAGAGTGACTCTGGCACTGGCTGTCACTCAACACATCCAACAGCCTGCTCAGAAGGAAAAACGCTACACAACTGATGATTGGACTCTACCCTCCCAGTTCACTGGTATTCTACTTGGTCAAATAATCCTACATAGAGAATTCACTCTCCAAGGCATTTCCTTTTGAAATCTGCTTTTGTTCCCCTAGCTTAATTACACCTAAAGCAATCACTCTGTGATTTCTGTCTATGGCTACTTGGGAAAGTGATTTTCCGATTTTCTACAAACCAACAGTACCTTTGAAACTGCTCATATGAGCATGTGGGTTGTGCTTACCAGATCGTAACAAAGTCTCTGCTCTTAAGGGAACGGTGGACAGTCCCTATCAGCTTTTCACAAAGAAAAAAAAAAAGATCTGTCCATTTTTTTGAGAGGAACTAGTTTTACTAAATATTCTTGTTTGCACACCATACTGCTGCAGGTGATTAAAAGCAACTAGACAATGCAACATGACGTACAGAATTTTCAAGATCCCCTGGGGTGACTTACACCTTTTTAAAGCACTGCTCAAATACTGTGAAGGAGCAGTATCAGATATGCAGACAGTATACTCTGGGCCCTTTTTTCCACAGGCCTTACAGGCCATATGATCCTCAACTTACCGCTTGCCAAGGTTTAAGAGATTTCCCACCATACGCTGCAAGACCTCTTTTGAAGTCACCACTCCATAGAACTCCTCTGTCACGTGGTGGCCAATAAGGTACTCGCACTCCTTCACCGTCAGCTGCTTCCCCTTCCCAAAGGCGTCAATGTAGGTGTAGTCAAAAATATCCGTGCTTCTAATGAAACAACGAGGAAACTGAATTGCGATGATGGGTCTCATGGTCAAGCAAGATTACCTATTTTTGTTCTTCCCTCAGCACTTTCAAGCTTGTTTTTAAAAGAAGTGTCATTCATACCTCAGCTCCCTCCTAAAAAGAGATACCTGCTACCTTCTCTCTCCTCCTAGCTTCTTCAGATAAACATATATGGGAAAAGACAGAGAAACTACGGGGACACGTTCATTCCATCATGCAAGTTCTTTCCTTCAGATATTTTCAGGTTTGCTCTATCTGTCACTAGATTATATTATGACACTGCACTGGAGAGTGTCACAGAGCCCACGCACATGGCATCTGAAGCCAAAAGGGGTATATATAGACAAAACCATTGCTCTGAATTGGACTGCTGATGTCATTCACAAAATACAGATTTCTGTAAATTGATCGTGACCCGGTCAAAGACATATCCTGCACTGACTCAGAGAATTAAATAAGTGCACAGAAGAACAGCAATGGTCTCTAGCAACTGTTCTGTATGGAAGGTTAAATGAAATCAGCACCTTTTTTCTTAAATAAAAGAAACATTACCTCATAGTTACTATTATTTTACACTCAGAAAATCTGTTACCATTCATCAACAGCAGAGCTGAATTCTGGGAAAACTTCTTTAGAGATCTGATATTTTCCTTCATAAGGTTGTAATTAAGGATGGAAAATAATCAAACATTCTAGTATAGGTCTGGAGCTGTAAATGCTTTCTGGTTTTCATTACTGCGGACACAACTTCAAAATTCAGCAGATCACTTACCCTTCTTTTCCTTGACACCATCGCAGCAGAAAATGGCTAGGGAAGTTGACTGGTTCAAGCTTGACTCCTAGCTGCCTGGCAATTGTTAAATAAAGTACAGACAAACTGATGGGAATTCCTGTCCTGCGGATCAAAACCTGGGGGATAAAAACATGATAAACACATGTGGGATATGAAAAAAAAAACCACAAAACCCCAAGGTTTGACTTCACAAATGAAAATACAGCAACTTGACAGAATACACACTAAAAGAAGACATCATATTGACTTTACAGCAGAGAGAGTTGACTACTTTCAGACAAATAAACACCACAAATAGAATGTCTCAAGCCTTGCAGCCTCCTAGTTTTTGCCTAACACACACATACCTGGTGAATGTATGAATTCAGGGAGTTATAGTAATCCAGCTCATTTCCTTTGTATTTTAACTGCTCATACAGGACGCAATTCATAGCATCGAGTACCTGCCGCTGAAGCTCCACTTCTGGAATCAGGATCTCTTCTAAAAAACACATGCAATGAAATAAAGACTGAGAAAACAAAGTGTACTTAACCTTTACGCAATGAACCTTATACCAAAATTCTTCATATGGACTAAGAACACAAGAGATTTGTCTCGACTCAGATAGTCAAGAGACTGGCTGGAGTTGACCATGGCAGTGCCCTAGTGCTCCACTCACAACGTGGCCTGGCTCAGTGGATTGCCTTGCACCTGAGTTGTGCAACAGCGATGCCTCGCTTCCTTCTGTGGCTGGAGGACTGGATCCTAACCAACCTGTGCCAGCACAGCACTGCAGCTGGACATGTCACGCTGCCCAGGCATGGCAAGCGTGCTTTCACTGCTTGAGAGTCCCAGCTTCGCCACTCCAGATATACAGATACAGGCAGACAGCTCATTCTCTCTTTGAAAGACAGCAAACATTAGACAGTGCTTATAAAAAACAAGGAGCAAGATGCTGCCTGACCTTTGGAGATGTTAAAGCACGTACCTTTTCTATTGCTGCTGACTTTCTGAGACTTGCAGAGGAAAAGAGGTTGATCCCCTGTCCCACAGCTCTGCTACAGATATCAGGACTACTTAAGACTTCAGGGACAAATGGGAAAAAAAAGAATAAAGAATAATTCCCCTCCCAATTCTTTTTGCTTAGACAGCATCAGATGGGACTGACAAGCCCGGGCTATTGAGTCCCTGTGGCTGAACAAATGTCTGTCTCCTGAACGATGGTTTAAGCAAATGTCAAAATATGCTTGCCAAGGGATAAAGAACAGCAGCTCTTTAAGCTGCAATAATTCAACAGCTGTTTCACCTTGTCTGCCTCTATCTAGACCTGCAGAAATGCTCTTCAGTAAAGCACACACTTCTGTACAGTACCTGCCTTGGAAGCCAAGCTGGGGTGCCTTGGATTTTTCGTCTGCAGGACTTTGCGCACTTTATCTGTGATATCATCCACCTGTGCCTGGACACTTTTTAAGCAGATGTCTGACAGCGGGTTACAGTATTGATCAATTAAAACAGCACCTGGAAAAAACAAACTATATAAGAAACAGGACTTCAGTTTTTTCTTTGCTTAGTTTTACCTACTCTAAATTCCAGGCATGCAGCAAGCAATTGCAGGAGAACACAAGCGCTTTCCCTTTAAAATTCGCAGTCATATATTGGATTTATCACATAAAATGCAAAGAGTAAGCTGACATGATAAATACCAATTAAATCCAGTATTCCCTTCTTCACCATCTTGAAAGGTATGCTGCTAGACGAGGCTTAACCCACCAACTCTCTGGTCACGTTGCATCTCCTGGCATCCTCCCAAACAATGTTTTTTATTCAGAGCCTGAAACAATCTCAACTTCACTTCTGCTTCAGTTCTGATTTCTTCTTGCCATATCCTCCATAGCTATCGCTCTTGCTCATCATTCCCTCTTCTGCTACATTCATCTTTCTCTTCCACGCCTGCTCTCCATCTTCCTGTCAGAAACCCACTATAGCAGAATAGATTTTCTTTTTCCTTTTGCCCAAGCCTCTTCTGTCAAACTTCTGCAGGAAAAAAAATAGCCCTTTTTCAGAGTCTTCTCCTTGTCATCTTGTCACCACTGCTCTTTCCAAAGCCTCCATATTGTTCAACCTTTGAAATCAACTATATTCACCTGCAAGAATTTTGCATGAATCATACTTCTTCCAGCTTCCCACATTGCTTCATTAGCCACATCCATGACAGGCCTATATTCAAGGACTTCAGCAGGGCCCAAAGCCGTCTTCTTGCCCCCCTGCGAAGTGTTCCCCGTGCTGACCAGGTGAAACTTCACAAATGACTACCTGTTGGCGCTCTAATAGTACCTCCATAGCAGACAAATGCGTCTGTGTGATTAAGTCACATAATCAACTGTCTCAGTTGTTTCCAGAAAAAGCCGCTTCTGGCTCTCCCTTCTTGCCCTAACACAGTTCCTTCTTCAAAGTCTACTGCCACTAACAAGAACCAGCTTTGCTGTTGGAGACTCTTTCATATGACATTTTTGAGGCATATATCAAGAGTAAGGGACTCTTCTACAGACACTGGCAGCTTTTGATTGATTCGGAAGACTATCTTCTCCATAGGAAGCTTGAGGAAGAGAATAATCCACCAGACTGAGGACATGAATTGCAGAAGAGCCTTTTCCTTCTTCGTATCAGGTGCAGGTACCTTTCCACCACGTGACTGGACTTCCATCCATTCCCCAGCTCTACATTGCACAGCTTCAACGGTCCAGCAGTCAGACAGCTCTCGAGAGAAAGCCACAGCGCACAGGCTATGAGCTGCAACAACAATTCCCCCTGCCTGCAGTTTGCTCCTTGCCCTTATCAGAGAAGCTCTTGGGAAAGGAGACAGTAGGGAGCTGACTCAAAATCAGATCAGTTGGTCTGTTAGGTCGTATTCAGCCCATGGGCCACAGTTAAAATGCTTCTGCAATGTCAGCTAATTAGGACACTGAGCTACTGCTGACTTCTTCAATGCACTGTTCAAGACTGAAATGCAAGTGTTTTTTTCAGCTCATCTGTCCACAGGCAATTATTCAAGCATACAGCACTGACAGAAGCTAATGCAATCCTGACATTCTGATGCAACACTATGCAACCACTGCAAAATTTTAAGGATTTCAGGTACCTCAAAAATCCAGACTTAATTTTGAGTCGTTGTCCGAGGGCTAGTTGAAATACAAGCAAGGAAGGCTCTTTCCAAGTAAAACAACAATGATGGAAAGCTGTCATTACGTACTCTACATGGGATTTCTGCCAAAGACTTACCCTCCAAAAATGACTGCCGATCAGTCGGGCGTTGAAGATACTCCTTCAGATTTTTTAATATATTCTGTTGCCGTAGGAAGTATAGAATTTTCTTTGCATAGTATTTCCAGGTGAGACCCTTCCTGCACATTTAAATACAAAAAGTAGTGTTGCCCTAAACAAGCACTTTAAGGGTGAACATTTAACTTCTCCAATGAATACAGGTTTACAATTTAGACTATTCCTTTTCTAAACGAGTCTGACAACACCACTATCACTGAAGAGTCAACCAAAAAGGTAAATGTGAAGAGGAATTTCTCCATCAAAAATCCACAATATAAGATGCTTGCGAAACATTGCTCCTATCATCTCCAATTTTTATCCTACCACCAATACATAATTTTGAGAAGATACGGTATCATGGGAAACAACACTGATCCTAATTAAAGCAGCTCAGGAATATCTGATTAAAATCCTGTATTTTATTCATAAAACATTACCCTCTATCTGACTGGATCCCTCCAGAATCAGACTTAAAGTATCCTCTCACCATTAAAAAGAAATTGATGAGGGCCATGAATGTAGGTCCAATAGTATTCAGAAGGAAAAAAAAAAAAAATCCCCAGAGGAAAAACACCTCTGTTGCTCTGGAAAGGCAGGAACAGATCAACAGCTGGTCTGTAAATCACACAATCCAAAACCTTACAGCTTTTATAGTAAAGCCCCTTCACTTTCTAAATTAACAAGTGAAGGCAGAGCGCACAAGAAGCAGTAACAGAGAGCTGGTTACTATCCAGGTCAGGTTTGAAGAGATCACCTGAAATACGACAGACCAACTCAGAGGCATTCAAATCACGTGCATCTAAGCAAGCCCCGGCCTTTAGCAATGGGTTACCCCCCAGTGCCTCACCGAGCACTTTTACACCAAATAGTTAGGAATGGCACAAAGCCCTGGCCCCAAAAACACCCAAAGGGAGAATTCTACTGATTCCCAGGCTCTGCCCTTGCCATGTGTTTAAAACAAGTCCAGTTTCCTTCTTCAGAAAACCCCCTCT